AAGGAATGGGCTGACTACACGAGAAAATAAAAATGTAGAGCCTTGGGACCAGCAGTTAGCGTAATGGCTCTGTTGCTGAACTCCCGCGTAGTCGACTATGGTTCAAGTCCCGGACCCGGTGGCTTAAACTCACGCCAGGCGCGTGTGCGTGCGTGCCCAAGATCCCGAGAGGAGAATGGAGAAAAAGGGATTGGGTGTGGCCATCCCCCCTGGGGGGTGATCTCTTGCTTTCTATCTGTCTTTCTGGCCAATGCATGTGCCCTATAGCAAAAACCTCTCCAAAAAAAAAAAAAAACGTAGGGCCTTTATTGGGAACGCTCCTGGGCGAGGTTTGCTGGTCCAGTGGGGAGTGGGGGAGGATAAGGAATGGTGAGGAAGAGAAGTCGCGCCCTGGGGGGAGAGTAGCAATTTTCATAAGGAGGGGGAGTGTCTGAGAGGTAGAAACAGTCCATGCGTGGTAAAGGTTTAGGGGGTGAGCAGACTGCTGTGCCGTGTAAGGACAAGGTCTGGTACCGTGTGCAGAGCAGAGTGCCGTGTGCAGAGCAGAGCGCATGTGCTCCATCTGGGTTAGATCTCAGTGCAGCGCAGGTCTGATGACAGCTAGATCCGGGTTGTATCAGCGTCCAGTCCCCACATCCAAGTTGCCCGGGCCTCCGGCCTAACAGATCACAATGTCCTTTAGATATTTTATATTCTTTCATTTTCACTAATTTATGAAGTATGCTCACTTAGCAAATACAGAAATTTTGGTTTAGAGAGCATAAGTAAGTCTCCCAGATATGATAAGCCATGCTTTTCTTTTTCATTTTAATTTTTTTCATGTTTTTGCTATGTGGCACATGCACTTGCTGGAGAGAGACAGAGACTGTGAGAGAGAAAGTGAGAAATCGAGACCAGCAGTTGGAATAACGGCTGTCGCAGGACTCCCATGTAGCTGACCGTGGTTCGCGTCCCGGTCCCGGTGGCTTAAACTCACGTCGGGCACGCGTGTGTGCGTGCCCAAGATCCCGAGAGGAGAATGGAGGAGAAGGGATTGCACAGTGGCCATCCCCTTGGGGGGTGATGTCTCGCTTACTGTCTGTCTCTCTTTGTCTTTCTGGTAAGTGCACGCACCCTATAGCAAAAACTTCTCAAAAACAAACAAACAAACAAAGAAATCACAGGCCAGGAGGATGGCCACGCTGCAATATCTTCTCCTCCACTCTCCTCTCAGGATTTTGGGCATGCGTACACGCATGCGTACACGCATGCCCAGCATAATTTTGAAGCTGCTGATCTGGGACTCAAACTTGGCCATGTGGGAGCCCAGCACCTTCACCACTACGCCTCCTGCTGCCCCCAATAAGCCACGATTGTAACTCAAATAGGTTTTATTCTAGAGTTTGTGATTTTTCTGAAGCCTACGATCTTTTTGAAAATATTTATTTTATTTATTATTATCATTTTAAAATTTGTTTCAGGGCACATTTGCTCACTAGAGAGAGACAGAGAGAGAGAGAGAAAGTGGAAAAGCGAGCCACCATGTCCGAACTCAGACCTCAGTAGGCCGTGGAGTCCCGCATCGCAGCCACTACGCCACCTGCTGGTCCTGTGAAGCCTATGTTCTTACCATCGGGTCACTGTGCTCTCTGGCAAACATACTTATTGAGGAGAAATGAGCCACAACCCTAAAAATCTGGGGCCAGCAGGTGGTGCGGTGGTTAAGGCCCTGGACTCCCACATGGTCAACCGTGGCTTGAGTCTCAGATCCAGCGGCTTGAAAATCATGTCTGGTGTGTGCATGCGTGCCCCAAATCCCGAGAGGAGAACGGAGAAGGGAGTGTGACGTGGCCATTCCCCCAGGAAAAGATTTCTCACTTTCTCTTCGTCTGTCTCTGTGTCTCTGGCAAGGGCATGTGCCCTATAGCAAAGATCTCTAAAAAAAAAAATAAAACCCTAAAAGTCATTGTTATTCATGTTTCTCAATATTTTGTGTAGTCCTTTTCCTACTTTTTTTTTTTTTTTTTGATATAGTGTCTTGCTGTTTCCCAGGCTGGCCTCGAACTCACCATCCTCCTGCTTCAGGGTTACAGGCTCACAGCACCACCCCTGGCCAAACCGTTTTTATAATATACATGTGCATTTATTTACTAACCACATCTCAAAGACGGGCTGCCGCGTCATGAAACTGTCCCCAAACTCGGCAACTTAAAATCATTTATTAGGAGGACAGCAGGTGGCGTAGTAATTAAGGCGCTGGACTCCCACCTGGGCGACCTCTGTTCAAGTTCCAGACCTGTCAGCTTGAAACCCACACTGGGCACGTGCGCATGTGTGCCCAAAACTCCCAAGAGGAGAAGGAAGGAGCAGGGATTGTGGCGTGGCCATCCTCCCTGGGGGGTGATTTCTCACTCACCTTCTGTCTCTCTAGTGAGCACAAGTGCCCCATAGCAAAAATCTTCCTTAAAAAAAAAGCATTTACCAGCCCTCCTAGTCAATGGTCCAACTGGGCAACATCACACCGGCCATCCGGGCCAGGCTCGTGGCTCCTGGTGGCTCACACGGTTAGGGGAGCTGAGGGCTGGCTTGTCAAGGGTGACCTCTGCGGGGACAATGCAGCTCTCTTCCATGTGTCAGTCACATCCCTTCCCAGCAGGTTAACCTGTTCGTGTGATGATCACAGAGAAGCAAGAGGAGACGTGGAGGGCCATCCCCATGGCCTGGCGCTAAGGGGACCAGATCCCATGTGCTGACTGCAAGGTTCGAATCCTGAACCCAGCAGCTTAAAACCCTCACCTGGCACACGTGGCTTTGTGCCCCAGATCCCGACGGGATGGAGAAATGGAGAAAGGTTTGCATCCTGACCATGTCGGCCCTATGTGGGCATCCTTCCTCCCTCTCCCTCTCTGTCTCTCTGATGAGCACTCACATCCTTGGCAAATTTTTAAAAAAAGAAAAAAAAAAGAAATCAAAACAAGATTTTTTCAAACCTTCACTGTGTCAAATCTGCTAACATCAGAATGGCCAAAGTCAGATTCTTTAAGAGGGTGGAGACCTGGACTCTGCTTCTTTTGTGAAAGGACTTGCAAATTCTGGGACAAAGGGTGTGGGTCCAGCCCAGGCGATGCAGGCCCAGGGCCGTGTGGATACAGGCCCGTGAAGAACAGGAGCTGTCAGTCTCACACAGCCCGCCCTCCGGCCACAGTGATATTCATCCTACCATTGTAGGGAGCAGGTACAAACCCCAGCTCTGCTGACCCGCTTGAGGTTTCTGGATCCTGTCTAGAGACCAACTGGAGTGCACCAGACATGCCTGCGACCGTGCGCCTGGGGAGGCTGGGGGCTGGTGGTGACTTGTGGCATCAAGACCCTGTTAGGGCACTGTCCCTCTGTCAGTCTGTCTGTCTCTGTCTCTATCACTCATGAAAGAAATAAACTTAAATATGCTCATTATCATTCCAGGACCTCCGAAAGAATAGTCTAATCATCACATTAGGCTAAAGTCCAAGATTTTTGTTTTGTGTTTGTTATTCTGTAAACTCCAAGATCTTGTAATCTACCTCAGTAATAAGCACTGGCTCTTGACTGGCATATCTATGAACAAAAAAAGCCAAGTTATAGGGGCCGGCAGGTAGCCTAGGGAAAGGCGTTGGACTCCCACATGGCCGACTACGGTTGGAGTCCTGGACCTGGTGGCTTGCTTTCTCACTTTCCCTCGCTCATTTTGTCTCTCCCTGGTCAAATTCAGTAATAATAATAAACAAAGTTAAATAAAATAACTCTTTGGGGAGAGAAAAAAAAAAAAAAAGACAAGTTATCTACTCCCAAAATCCATCCACCCAAGATACAATGGTTAGTCAGGGGCTCTGGAATGGCGGTCACTGGTCCATAGTAACTCCGGAGTCAGCTGGGCAAATCCAGCCGGGTTCTCCTACCCTGGGGGTGGGGAACAAGCCTTAACTAGACTTGTGTCTGCCTCCTTGCGTTGCCCCCCAGTCCATAATTCCTTATGGCTCCCCACCTCGGGGGCATCTCTGTTTCCATCACGTTCCTTGCTTTCATCTGTAAAAACAGCCCCTTGGGGGACTAGCAGTTAGCATAATGGCTATGTTGCTGGACTCCCATGTAGTCGACCATGGTTCATGTCCCGGACCCGGTGGCTAAAAACTCACACCGGGCGCGTGTGCCTTCGTGCCCAAGATCCCGAGAGGAGAATGGAGGAGAAGGGATTGCGGCGTGGCCATCCCCCCGGGGGGTGATTTCTCACTTTCTGTCTCTGTCTGTCTGGTGAGCGCACATGTCCTATAGCAAAAATTTCTCCAAAAACAAAACAAAACAAAGCAAAACAAAGCAAAACAAAACAAAACAAACAGCCCCTTGGGCTAGTGGTGGTGTGGTGGTTTAGGTGGTTGGATCCCACATGGGAGCCTTTGTGGTTTGAGTCTTGGACCCGGTGGGTTGAGGGACATGCCAGACTCGTGTGCGTGTGCGTGCACGCGTGCAAGTCCAGGGTCCCAAGAGGACAATGGAGCGGAAATTGTACCATGGCCATCCTCCCTGGGGGATGCTTTCTCACTTCCTGTCTCCTGCAAGCCTGCGAGCCCTAAAGCAACTTTAAAGATAAATAAAACATGCAGGAAGTGTAAGGTCTGGGGGAAGGGAAAAGAAACATGGCGGGAACATTCCCGCCGGCAGAACTTTCCTGCTTTCCGCATGTGACCCACCATCACCAACGGACTCTCTTGCCCTTCAGCATTAGGCACCCGCCAAGATTCAACAGAAACAGCGAACTTCATTGGCCAGACAAGGACCCTTGGCGAGCACCTATTGGACAACGGCCCTTTAAGAATGAGCAGCACCGGGAACCAGCAGTTAGTGTAATGGCTATGTCGCTGGACTCCCACGTAGTCGACCGCGGTTCGTTAGAATAGATTATGTTGATTTTATTAAACCCCAAAGCCTGGCTCTGGTAATTTCGCCTTTGCCGCCTCTGACTTCGCCACTGCTCCCAAATCAAACCTAACATCTGGTGCCGAAACCCGGGAGGGGCTGGATGCCTCTTGGTTAGAGCGCCTCCATCGGACCTCTCACGCGGTCATCCGGCTGGGAAGGTAAGCAACCCCAGCCCCGTTTTTCAGACCTCCAGAGTGTTCCTGTCTGCAGCCACTCCACATCC